TCTGATCTATTCTTCCCTGGAAAGGGGATTTGCTTTTGGAGTATGGTAGATACTCTACAGGATCTTCCCAAATGTACAACTAGAATAGTGATTACAGAAGGAAACATCTTTTCAAATACATCACCCAGCTGGAATAAAAATAAGAAATGATTAATGTCTTCTTTTTATTTATTTTTATTTATTTTTTAGATTTTATTTATTTATTCATGACACACACACACACACACACACACACACACACACAGAGGCAGAGACACAGGCAGAGGGAGAAGCAGGCTCCATGCAGGGAGCCTGACGTGGGACTCAAGCCCGGGTCTCGAGGTTCACGCCCTGGGCCGAAGGCGGTGCTAAACTGCTGAGCCACCCAGGCTGCCCCTGTCTTCTTTTTAAATAAACTTTTTATCTTGGGATAATTTTAGATTTACAGAAAAGTTACAAAGATAGTACAGAGATCCATTCTCAGTTTCTCCTAAGGTTATCATCTTACATCATGGTAGTATGTTTGCCAAAACTAAGATAATAATGCTGAAATCCAGATTTCATACAGAGTTCACAAGTTTCTCTGAATCCAGGCCAGGGAACCACAGTGCATTTATTTAGCTGTCATGTCACATGAGTGTCCTTCTATATGTCATGACCTTGACAGTTTTGAAAAGTACAGGTCAGGTATCTTGTAGAATGTCCTTCAGTTAGGGTTTGTCTGATGGTGTTCCTAAGATTACAGAGTTTAATTTTTATTTCATTTTCTTTTTTTTTTAATTTATTTGTTCATGAGAGACACAGAGAGGCAGAGATATAGGCAGAGGGAGAAGCAGGCTCCCTGTGGGGAGCCTGATGTGGGACTCGATCCCAGGACCCCGGGATCATGACCTGAGCCAAAGACAGATGCTCAACCACTGAGCCACACAGGTGCCCAGGTTACAAAGTTTTAAACAAAGAGAAGTGATGCCATAAAATAAGTGAGTACCAAGTATCTCCAAGACTTGCTGTCAAACCTTGATAACTTGAGATCCTAAGCATTCGTTTTGCTGGCCTCATAGGGTGCGTATGACAGGATATAAAATCTAGGGCTTTCTCAAGGTAAGGAATAGAATAGAAAAACACTGTCTACCCCTCAATCCTCCCATCCCCATGTGAAATTGGGAGCCAAAGGAACTATAGTCTCTGCTATAGTAAAGACAGTAAAGAGAAATAAGCTCCACCACACAGAAAGGGACCTCGAGAAAACTTGTTCATCATAACCCTAGGTAATGGGTGGAGGAAAGCGCTCCCCATGAGAACCTATAACCCTAACCCCACTCTCATATGTGCTTTCAGTCAGAATTCACCCTGCATTGGTGGGCTGAAAGAGTGTTGCACATGTTAAAATGTAGTATAAAAAGATCTTGGGCTAGAATCACCACTGGGTATATTTAGCATTATTTTAATATATTTTAATATATTAGTATGTAAATAGATAATTTAGAAACAAAACATATATAATAGTGGTGATCTTAAAATCAATGATAAGGCAGGCTAAAGAAATCGAAAAATTACGAGCCAGAAGATTGATCTAAACAAATCACTCAGTCTGCGGTCCCATGAAATGAAGATTTAGAAAATGTTCAAGAAAGATTAAGAGAAAATATGAATGGAATGAAAAATTTTGTCAGTGCTATCCAACAGAATCTTCTCCAGTGATGGAAATGTCCTAACTAATCACATGTGGCCAGTGGCTATTACCTATTATGTTGAACATTACAGGGTTAACCTCTGTCGAATCAATGTTCTAGAAGGAGATGGTTAGGATGGGGAAGAACAATATCCAGAGAAATCATGGCTGAGAACTTTCCAGAACTGTTGAAAGACACTGATATTTATTCTAGGGAACCCCCACATCTAAGCGATATAAAACAAAATACACGCCATCAACCACTACAGGCAAAGTGTGGAATACCAAAGAGAAAAAATGAGATTTATCCAAAGTAGCCAGTGAGAAAAGCCAGATCACTTACAAAGGGTTGGCCATGAGACCCATGATGGCTTTTCATCAGCACTGGTGGAAACTGCCAGACAAAGGAACAATATTTTCAGTGTTCTCAGAGAAAACTTGTCAGTTCACAATACTTCATCCTGCAAAACTAGCTTTTATGTTGGATGAGGATCCAACAAAGACGTTTACAGATAAACCACAGCTAACAGAGTTTACCACAGAGACTGCCCCTGAAGCAAATTCTGGAAAATTATTTTGGACAGGAGGAAAATGGTTCCAGGTGAGAGGGCTGAGATAGAAGCAGGAATGACAAGCAAAGATGCAAATAAACCTAAATAAAAGACTTTAAAACAATAAATATAATGCCTACTTTGTGTGGATGGTAAAACCCAAGAAGTGAAAATATTACAGAAAGACAGCCACAAATGTAAGATGTGAAAAAATGTAAGATGGGTGAGTCTTGATCACAGTTTAAGAGGTATATTGGTCTTTGTCTTATTTAAAAGGAAGAGCAAACACTAGGGGATATAGACCAAAATCTTTAACTTTCAATCAACCTGAGGCTAACCGTGGAGCAGAAAAATAAAAATAAAATAAAATATCTCATCCAGAAGGAGCGATATGGAAGGGTTGAAAAGCACAGTTAGTGACCTTGATCGAATGGACCTGGATAGAGCCCGGTGCCCTGCTTTAGGAGAAAATACCTTATTTTCAAAACACATGAAATATTCATGTGGGCCATGAAACTGGATTTCGAAAGACTGTGCTCACCCATACTGTGGTCTCCCACCACAAATAAATTAAGTTAGAAATAATATATTAATGTGTAGAGAAACCACATTCATTTGGAGATTAAACGTATATACGTGACATGCACACAGGCATCCAAATAACTTATGGTTCAAAAAATGAATCCTCCTTAGAATTTAAAAATACTTGAGACTGAATAATTAATATCTTGGAAATCAAAACTTGGGACTTTCCAGGACTTAGAAAGTTAATGCTTACATCAGAAAATCAGGATGGGTCAAAATTACTGAGAGAAACATTAAATTTGAGAAGAAAAAGAATAGCAGAGTGGACCCCCCAAAAGAGTGGAAAGGAAAGAACAGATGATTATCAGTATCACACGGTCTGGTTAGGACTCTTACTCATTCAATCATTCAGCCAACATTTATTGAGCACCTGATGTATACTAAGAAGACAGAGTTCCTAACCCTCCAGCTTCTTTTCTAATGGGGTAGCAGGCAGTGCGTAAGAAAATGAATGAATGAGTGAATGAATGATAACAATTTCAAGTAGTGAGAAACACATCCGAAGCTGAAGAACATACAGAGGGGTACAGGAGTGGAGGCTGAGGAGAGGTGGTGTGTTGGTGGTGGCTGTTTTAGGAGTCAGCATTTCTTCCAAGGACAGGAACCCACGTAGCCATTAGGAAATGGAAAAAGCCCACATCCTAAATAATAGAGTGATGATGGGCTCCCAGCCGGATGCCCTCTGCACATGGCCATTTGCGGCTGGGCCAGGGTGGTGGGTAGGGAAGCGGCCAATAAGGACACCACGTGAGGCAGGTGGATAATTGCTCCCCAGGTCTCAGGCTCCAGAAACTCTTTGCTGAGCCTTTTGCCCAGCGAGTCTCCTGGCTCTTAGGCCCACATCCTCATGTTACTCCTGGTGGTCCTGCCAGGTTGTAGCCCCTCCAGCCTTCTTTGGAAGCCCCCCATGTTCAGACCCTTGTGTTCATCTGCGAGATGTGAGGGTCAGTACATGCCCCCTGGGCATCCTTTCAGGGCTCTGATCCCACGATACCAGGAAATTAATCTGTGCTAAGAAATACCCAGGAATGCAGTGAAAAGGGGAAAATGTGTATCCCTCCCAGTGCACACTTAGACGTTAACAATGCTTTTCTACACCTTAGCCCACCCCCCCCGTAGAGTTCCATCAGCTTTCCAGGCAAGGTGAGGAACGTGGACGGGGGAAAGGCAATGCTAGCATTTGATAACCCAGTGGCCTCCCAGAGAGCAAAGAAGCCAAAGCTTAATTGGATCAAGGATCAGCCAACATTTCATAGAGAAGGCAGTATTTGAGAAGGAGTTTGAAGGACACGTAGGAGTTCGGTAGGTAGGGAAAGGCCTTCCAGAATAAGGGAGCGCTGTGAGCAATAGCAAGAGGGTAGGGAAGTGGGTGACATATATGCCCTGTTTTGGGTCCCCCTGGGCAGGGGCAGGCAGCAGGTGGGTGTCAAGAGAGTGGCTTGCAGAGGGAGTGTGGAGTAACAGGAACTGTCACCTTGATGCCAGGGGCTGTTCTGAGCCTTCCATACCTTTAACCCTTTACTCCTCAGACCACTCTTATGAGACTGGGTGCTTACCAGAACCCCATTTCACAGATGCTGAAACCGAGGCCTAAGGGGGACTGCCCAGTGGTAAAGCTGGGGCTGGGAGGCAGGCCTGGCATAGAGAAGCCCAGGGAGGTGAAACAGGAGAGGGTGCGAGCTGGGGATGCCCGAAGGTGAGAGTCAGCAGGTGCAGCCCGGGTCTTGAGTCGGCCGACGGTGGTGGTTTAGTGCCTCTTTGCAGTGAAAATGCTCATAATGAAAGTTCTGCTTGACAGATGATAACGGCTCTGGAGGGAATCATGAGGGGAGATGAGTGTGTACTCGGCATCCTCCCGAATGCGGTCACTGCGGGGAGCTGGAGGGTTCGAGGCTTGTCGCCTTGTGTCTCTGGGGTGGGATGAGGGGGTGCGATGCCCACTGGCCGGGCAGCTGCTCTCGGACAGACCTTAATTCCCAGCTTCTGCCCGCTGGGTGATGCAACTAGTCCTCCCCCCCTCCTGACATGGCTGATTTCGGGGTGCTGTGATGTCACCGCACATGGGGCAGGGAGGAGAGGTGTGCAGCCACACAAGAGCACCTGCACCCTGGTCTGGGATATGTCAGACGGTGGGGTTTGGGCCCAGGCCGAGATGCCACAAGGTGAGGTATCTGATGCATTGCCCTTTGCTCCTACATCTTTGTCTCTGACAGGTTCGGGCCTCTTTCCTCTCATGGGATCATTTGCCCGGGGGCTGAAGGGAGAAAAGACAGAAGGAGGTGAAGACAACCAGGCTGCAAGAAAGAGTAAAAGTCTAAGAGACCTGCCCGCACCCCCCAACCATGGTGAGCCCGCCTCCTCGGCTGCACAGCTTGCTCAAGACACGGCCCTGAAATGAAAGCCAGAATGCATGAATGCACCCGCCCCTGAGAGGCTCGACTTGCCCTTCCACGCCCGCTTGTGCCAAACCTGGTGTTTCCATCCAGAGGTTATGGGTGTGCCTCCAGGAATTGGGTGGTGATCAAGAGCACGGTCCTGGATGGGGACGCCCTGGGTGTAAGCACCAGCTCTACCACTTATTAGCTATGCGGCCTCTGACAGTGATCTGACCACTCTCTGCCTCAGTTTCTTCGTTTGTAAATGGGAGTGGAGGTCTTGCTTCTCAGGGCTGTCGTGAGGGTTCAGCTGTGCTGTGTAGAGGCCTCAGAACAACGCCAGGCACACAGTGTTAAATGCGTGCTTATCACTGTCATCATCATCATCTGTATTTATTACGCTCATTTGCTGCTTCTTTCTCTTCTATGTAAATGGAAGCTATAATTAGCATGCACAAGTTACAATTTATTTTCATGTTGGTACGCCTTAAAAAAGTCTCCCAGGTTTAAAGTAACTTCTCAAGTTGAACATTCCTTTAAAAAAAAAAAAAAGATTTATTGACTTATTTGAGACAGAGAGAAAGAGAGAGGAGCAGACTCCCCGCTGAGCAGGGAGCCCGACGTGGGGCTCGATCCCAGGACCCTGAGATCACGATCTAAGCTGAAGGCAGACACTTCACTGACTGAGCCACCGAAGTGCCCTTCATGTTGAATATTCCTTAAATATAACTTCTCCTTCCTGGGGCTCAGAGTTGACCATCATAGCCTGGATGCCCTAACCATCTGATATGAACATTTGGGTGGTGAATGAGTGATTAAAGTTTTAACACAGAACGTTAAGTTCAGCATCATTTAATAAATGTGCAGCCATGGCCATTTCTTGTGGTAGTGGGGGTCTAGAGGATAATCTGGATAGATGGAAGACACCAATAATCCCCAGGCCTCATTTGGCCAGGACTTTATTATCTTTCTCTCGTTAGGCTTTATGATTTTTTTCCTCACCTAGAACTCCAGACAGATGTTTTAATGACTGGCTTTGGACGGTCCTCCTTGTCCATCCCTGCTGTGTGTTCTGGGGCTGCCCTGAGAAGCAGCAGGCAGCCTGGAATATCTCCCCTTTGGACAAAGAGCTGGTGGGCAATTGAAGGTTAACTTACCTCTGAAGGAAACCCAGTTTCACTACCAAGATACCAGGAGAACACTCTCATTTAAATAAAACATGTAGCCGAATCCCGTTCAAATTAGCCAAGGGGTTTGGTCCGTGACACCAGGGCCTGGGGATATCAGAGAAAGCAAGTGTCATTTTCCTGGATTAGATGGAGCCAGACACAGTTAATTAATTGCTTACATTTTCACAAGCTGGCTGGGATAGGATAGCATGGGGTGGAGTAGGTGGGTAGACTAACCTCCATGCCCTGCCTCCAAAGCCCTGCAATCAGGTTCAAACTTGGGCTCATCTGTTCAACAAAATAATTGAGCCATTCACAGTTTCAGGCACTGAAGATACATACAGTAATGAACAAAATAGATAAGATGCCCGCCCTCATAGAGGTTAATCTAGAGAGAGAGGCCACAAACAAGTGACATTTATATACATATAATATGATTTCACACGGTGGATCAATGAAGAAAAAAGAAGCAGAACAAAGGGTAGAGAAGGAAGGAAATGCATAACTACGTAGATGAGGTGGTAATAGGGAGCTCTGAAAACTGTTGTCAGTTTGGAAGCAAGTCATGGGATGATCTGGGTAAGAGGGAATAGCAGGTGCAAAGGCCCGGAGGGGCAACAGAGCCTGGCACTCTGAAGGAATGATTAGAAGGCTAACATAAGTCGTGACATTTTAGTCATAGCATGATAGTATCTGTCCTCCCACTTCATCCAGTTTTATTTGATGTCTGATTTTCCTACACAGCATCCCTTGTAGTGAGCACCCAGCTTCTGCCCTAGAGTCAGTGATGGACTCACCTTCCTGACGAAGCTATTTTCAGACAGCTTATTGCTAATACTTGGTTCTACAAACGGAAAGTCCTTCAGCCCTCCCAAAGCTTCCAGGCACTTGTTCTTGTTTAATCACATTGAAATACACAATATAAGTCTGATTCCTTTTCCATAAGACAGGCTTTCAATTATTTGGAGACGGGCATCTTATCCCTCCATGTCGTTTCTTAATAAGCAAGACAGTTCCTTCAACTGTTCTTTGTATAGTTTGGTTTTAAGTTCCTTTACTTTGCTGGTGGATCTCCCTGAAATATATTCCAGATTGCATGCTTCTCTCCTACAGTGTGGAACCCAGAAACAAATGCAAAGATCCGGGCATGACCTGGGCAGCAGAGTACAGGGTGACCAGGCCCTCCTTCATGACAGATTCTTGACTTTCATGGTGCTTTGTCATTTTCAGGTAGTTTTGTGGTTTGTTTGTTTGTTTGTTTTTTGCAACCACATTGCTTTTAATTGAGATTGAATTAATTGTTGACGAAAACTCTCAAAGCTCTTTTTTTTTTTTTTACTTTTTTATTTATTTATGATAGTCACAGAGAGAGAGAGAGAGAGAGAGAGAGGCAGAGACACAGGCAGAGAGAGAAGCAGGCTCCACGCAGGGAGCCTGACGTGGGACTCGATCCCAGGACTCCAGGATCATGCCCTGGGCCGAAGGCAGGCGCTAAACCGCAGAGCTACCCAGGGAGCTACCCTGCCTTTATATTGAATTTCTCCCTCTACACATACTGTAAGAATTTAGGACTTAGTACTAGACTCTTAACCTTATCAAATCCAATTATTTTCAGATTTTGCCTCTCATTCCAGCCCCTCCCAAATCTTTTTAGACTCTGATTCTGCTATAAAATAACTACATCGTCACACTAATCTATGTCTCCTGTAGAAGTGGTGAGCAGGCCCCTAGAATGTTCATCTAGCTCACTGATAAAGATATTGAGGCATGCACAGGGCTGTGAACTATTTCTCTGGCAAATCACCAGGACACTAGGAAGCCCTCACCAGTTTTGACATCAATCCATTAATGAGTATTCTTTAAATATGACTCCTGAACAGTTAATAACCCACTAAAATGTTCTAGCATCCAACCCTTTCTTCTCTATCTTAACCAGAAGTATATCATTAGAGACATCGCCAATTGTTTTGCTGAAGTCCAGATGCCTGAATGGAAATGTGTGTACATTGTCTTTATCTGCCAACCCCCCACTGAGGAATGGAAATGGGCCGGACTAACAGGACTTGTTCTTGTGAGCTCATGCTGGGTCCTATAATCACTTCTTTGTCATTTGGGTGCCTATTATAACATCGCTTTAGTAACACATTCTGGAATCTCGTCTGAGATCCATATCAAGCGCAATCATCCGTAGTTTACAGAATCCATTTTCTACCCGTTTTAGAAAATTGGAAGGATATTTACTCATTTCCAGCCTTCAAAGTTCTCTCAACTTCTTTCCCAAGCAGCATGCCTATCCTGTGTCTGATCTCCAACTGGTCCCAAATACAGCTGAAAGGTATTTTGCTTTTTTTTTTTTTTTTTGGCTTTTTCATTTGTTTGCCAGCCTTAGGTCATTTTGATAAAATTCCATCACTTTTTTACACACTCCTTTGGTTTGCGTGCTGCTCCACATCCTGTCCTTTAAAATTAGAGCATCCAGAGCACTGCTTTGCAACCATAATTAAATATTGGGATCACATCGGAAGAGTAAAAAAAAAAAAAAAAAAAAAAAAAGACTTAATGCTGATTTTTTGCCCTGGACAAATTGAGTCAAAATTTCAGGGAGTGATGGAAGTATTTGTTTTTTTTTTTTTTTTTTTTTTGAAGCCTCCGCAATGGACAGCCAAAGTTTGGAACTGTAATGCAGTGACACATTAGTTTTGTTTCTGTTTTTGTTTGCTGGGTTTTATTATTTATTTTAGATTGTCTGTCTCTTTATCATTGATATCACCTGTGTCGGCATTGTGAGACTTGAATGTTTGAGAAATTCGTGAAGCATTTTGAGTACAATGGAACTTCCTTCCTTATGCCTTGGAATTATGCTTTTCTTTACCTCTGAATTTTATCTCTGAATCATTCTATCTTTGTCTGCTGGCTCACACTGTGTGAACTCAGTGACCTTTTCCCTAAGACTCCCTTCTCATCGTCTTTAATAAACATTACTTTATCCTGGTAGGTCAGAATTCAGTCTAGGATGGTTCTCCATTTGCATGCTTGGTCTTTTTTTTTTTTTTTTTTTTTAATTTAGCACGTTTTACACTGTTCTGCTTTTGGCCAAATGAGGCTTCTAGTAGTTGCTTATGAAGTTGAAATCCCCTATGGTTATTAAATCATGCCTATCTGGCTCCTAAAAATAATGTGTTAGGAACCTACTTCTCTTTATATTCATCTGGCCCAATGACCCAATATATGTACTAGGGAACAAACTGAACTGATCCTCAGGACTACTTACAGTGTGGTAAGAATACAAATTTTAGGATCCTACCTTAGAATTTATGATTTATGAAGGGCTCAAGAAATTGCATTTTATTTATTTATTTATTTGAAGATTTTATTTATTTTATTCATGAGAGACACAGAGAGAGGCAGAGGCATAGGCAGAGAGAGAAGGGGGCTCCTTGAGGGAGCCCCGGGATCAAGCCCTGGGCCAAAGGCAGAGGCTCAACCACTGAGCTACCTAGGACACCCAAGAAATTACATTTTAAAGGTTCCCTAAACAATTTTGATGATTGGCGAAGCTTAAGAAACCCTGACCTGTACCATAGCAATATCTCTTCTGTTTCTGTTTCCTTATCTCTTTGCTCTTTGGTATGTATGTATCCATAGGACTATGGATTCCCACAAAGATGTCTGTCTTCCTGACAGAGCATTCTAGCCAATCTCTTCCTCCAGCAGGCCTATTTATCTTGAGTAGAGCATATGCTTCCATCAACATATTTCAATTCTGTGTCTCCTCTTTTCCAAGCTTGGTGAAACAAGGTCAGATTTATTGCCTTATCTTGTAAGAATTTCTTTCAAATTATCTCCAATCCATTTTGTTACTCATGCACTGCTGACTGGCATAAAATAAGACTTCCAAGATTATACTAATTTTTTTCTGTCTCCCCTGCTCAATTGCTTTCTGGTAAAAAAATTAATAAATAAATAACTGGACACTACTCATTCTTCTTTGCTATAGCTATGTTATATCTGCTGATTTTCACAACAGTTAGTTTAATGAATTTATCTGGGCATTTTAATTTCTCCTCATCTATCCTTAAAGTTTTAGATGTTCTTTTCTCCCATTTCAATTCTCTTTCCTTAAAAAAAAAAAAAAAGAAGCCTTTTTTTATTATGAAAATGCTCAAAAATACCCCAAAGTAGAGAGACTGATAAATGAAACATTATGGACATCATGTGGCTTCAATAATGTGTCATTTGGCTCCTCTGGGAAGCAGATATTGAGATGGCTTTAGGAGAGCAAAAGCCTTACTGGGGAGTGACATCCATGGAAGGATGTGAGAGGTGGCAGAACTGTCAGATGGTGATGGGGATCCAACAAAGTTTTTCATAATCTAACAAGGAGGACCAGGACTAAGATTGTCTTGACAGAAGTCTCAGGTTGACAGAAATGGCTGGACCCTTAGACTTCTTCAGTGGCTGAAGAAGTGGACCTCCCTGAGAACACTATGACTTCTGATATAACTGAAGGAATTAACAGCTAGATGTCAGCTGACCACATTCCTCCAAGCTGGGGAAATACACCCTTGTCAAGCCACAGTTGCTACTCTTCCATTTACAATCACAATTAAGCAAGGCTGGACCAGGAGGCGTCTGGGTGGATCGCTGAATCTGCTATTCCCTTCTGTCTCAACTGTTAGTATGGCAGCTCTATTTCCTCCTGCTGGCCAAGATCAACTACTGTTGCCAAGGTGTAACTATTTTGCTTGCCTGCTGGTCCCTGGGGAGTTCAAAGTGCCCAAGCAGTAGTCCTAACTGGTGGTTTAATGGGACCTTTGGAGATCATGCCTTTTAACACCGAAAAGCCCAGAATTCCAAGAACAGGGGGCACAAAGATTCCCAGTGGGTCACTGGGAATGATGACGAGGAGTAGCCTACTTGCCAAGAACCAAGAGTTTCATCTCTTGGTTCACAAATTTTTCCTATTTGGGATGCAGCATCGTATACAGTCGTATGATTCACTATGTATACCACATCCTAGAGAGTCTTTGCAGATGGCACTTCAGCTGCTTCTTCAGCAAGCCATTCCAAACACTTTCTTCAGGGGTCAAACTGGTGAATGAAGTAGAGCTATGGTAGGGACCATCACCCTGCATATCTAGATTTTTAAGATCTGTCACTCCCACACAGTGATGATGATGATTATTTTTGATCTCACTCTCTTGGCTGAAGGAGGAAGGGAAGGCAGTTACAGAGCCTTCCACATTTTTAATATTATGCTAGATCTTACTCAAGACCAAAGTTTTAAAGTGAGGATGATCCCAACTTCTGAATATGTCAATTCCAACTGCACCTTTGGGGATTGGAGAAATGGCTACGAGGGTGTCCTTGGGCTCAGGAGACTTACTGTCACCTGGACTTTGGCAAGGAGGTTCATTACTTCTCTATGTCAAAGAGTATCTATAACACACAAACTGGATGGGGTGGGCCGTCCTGCCAGTCAGTTGTGATTGATCCAATACCTAATTCCAATCTCCAAAAAAAAAAAAAGCATTTAACTGCAGCAAAATAGGCATAACACAAAATTCGCCATTTAAATCATTTTTAAGTAAATTATTCAGTGGCATTAAGTACACTCACATTATTGTGCAACCATCACCACCTTCCATCTCCAAAACTCTTTTTACCTTGTAAAACTGAAAGCCTGTCCCCATTAAATAACTCCGCATTCCTCTTAGTTCCTGGAAACTACCATTTTACTTTTGTCTTGTGAATTTGACTACTCTAGGGTCCTTATATAAGGAATCATATAGAATTTTTCTTATTGTGACTGGCTTAGTTGACTTAGTATGATATTCTCAAAGTTCATCCATGTTGTAACATGTATCAGAATTTCCTTCCTTTTTATGGCTGAATAATATTCCAGTGTATGGATATACCACATGTTATTTATCCATTGATCTGTTGATGGGCATGTGGTCAAACCCCATCTTACCATCTGCCTGCTTGGATTGCTCCTGGAACCACTTCTGGAATGAGGATGCTAAGGTGGAGTTAGAAATGCAACACACCTCTGAAAGGCAAAGAGAAGAAACAGAATTGGGTAGAGGAGCTCTCAGACTTCCATGCACATCTGATAGAGTCTCTACCAGCCCCGTGGAGAGGCCTGGAGTAAAGACTACCCATTCAGGAGTCCTGTGTTGGGTTTAAATGGCTAAGCCCTTGGACCACAGTCTTATTTAATCATTGACATGGCCTTGGCTCAAACACTGAGGTGAACCTGAAAGAGTTAACATTTGGGGGCTGTCTCCGACTACCCTTTTGTAGTTGAGTCAGGTGTCTTCGAAGTAATCA